GTGCATCTGGTTGTGAAATTTCCCAAGATGGTGTTCGTCGGCCTTTGGTGAGATTAAGACCGGGGAGGTGCTGTCTTGATGTCGTTCCCAGTGGGTGCCATGCCAATCTACCCTGTTTGGGGGTTCCACTTCTGGCAGCTTGCTGCTCTGACGCGGCCCAGTTGAAGGGAACATACTGGGAGCCTATTCGGGACGTTGAGCCCTGACCCCAACGGGTCGCAGGACCCCTCCTTGCATTTGGCTCAGTTGAGTTCTCCTTGCTGGGGTGGCTTTCCCATCTGCCTCTCCTGTTAGAGAATCCAGGATTGTAGATTGGGGGGATGAAAGCTTTATCCTTTTGTTTGGACAGGGCTGGTTGTGGATTGTTCCTTCGTTTATTCTCGGGGTCTGACCGGCACTCATCAGAGTCGTAGCCGTGCTTGAAGCATGTGTAGCAAAATGGGCAGTCGTCTGCGATGTGCCCATGTCTGCTACATTTACTGCACCAGGGTGTGTTGGAGTTGACCAGGTCGGCAATAAGAAATCCGGTGTCTGTCCATATCTTGAGACGCGGTCTGAACAACTCCTCCGCATTGTGGTGCAGTTGAAATTTCAAGTTGCCGAGTTTGGGATCATCTGGGTCGGCGACGGGGTCGAATTCCTTAGTTACTTTCCCCAATTCTTCTTCGATTCCTGTTCTAATGAACATAGAAGCAGCAATAGGGAAGCGCATTGCCATTACCCAAAAAAAATTCTTTTTGTCTTCTTCTCTTCTTTTCTCCCATTCAACCTTGGGCATTCAGGAACGAAAGAAGACAAAGTGCCATTTACCATTCTCGTTGAATTTCATTTCTTTCTTTGTGTTCAACAGCCAGTCCACAACTTTCAGATTCTTCGTTGTGTATGTCATTTGTCCCCTGCCTTCCATATGTGCAGTTCCCTTGTCAGAGAGAAGCTCTTCTTCATTGAGAACAGATTCCTCTAGATAACGAATGAGATCCATTTTCTTGTTGGTGGACCAGTTTTTTGTCTCACCTTGAAAGACAATGGCCACAGTTGTCTGCTTGAGGAATTCGTTCTGTATTTCGATGCAGTCTTCCTCTTCGTTTATTGTTGTCTCCACGTAGCCAGAGAGGTCTAGTGAGATGTGGTCTATGTACCTGCCTTTGATCATGCCCGCCAATTTCTGAGATTCCTCGTCCATCTTGTCAGCAGTATTCATTCCTGCCTCAGATGTACCACTTCTGTGAGACATTGGAGGGAGGGGGGAGGAGAAGAGACTGTGGGTGCACACGTCAATCTGGCAGGGGCGGTGGGTGCGCACGTCAATGAGACTGTGGGTGCGCACGTCAATGAGGCAGGGGCGGTGGACGTTGTATACGAGGGAGCAAATGGAAACGGGGGGGTGCTGTTAGAATTACTGGGGTGGTGATCCGTTGGCACACCGTGGCCGAGTGACCTGTTGGGAGGGGAGGGGTGGGAGGTGGAGCTAATCGAGATTGCTGGAGGAAGGGCGGAGTCAGGGCTTTTGTTCGTGGGGGGTGGGGGGACGGGCGGTTATCGGTACTAACGGGGTAAGGGCTGAGCTGGAGAGGATTACGGACCGACGGGGGCGGGTGTGGGCAGCCGGGGAAAGGGCGGAATGGTCGGGGTAGGGTTGCCTGGTTGTCCGGAAGTAGGGGGACTGGCAGAGAGAAGGCTATCAGAGGAGGGGAATGGCGGGGATATATAATGGCAAGGTTAGATCAGTATGGAGAAGACGGGAACGGAGGGACGCATGCGTCGTAGGAAAAGGAACAGATATGGGTAGTAAAGACGGGGCCGGAGGGACGCACTCGTCGCAATAATGACGCTGGGCCAGAAGAGGAAAGGAAATTATGACACTGACAGAGAAGTTTTAGTTTTTAAGAGTCCAGAAGGGTCAAGACTCTATTACACGGGAGCCGACAAAAATGGGGAAGGGCCACCGCGGGAAGAGGATTGGCGGAGACAATTATTAATGGGATTGGGCAAGAGTAAAAAGAAGACAAGGGCGATAGGAAGTACTTATTGCAGGAGGGGGGGCAGGTGCAAACAGAGTTGGCACCTGGCCTACCCGAGGAATGAAGGATTCGAAGGGACCGGATTGGGGAAAAAGGTTTAACTTATTTGGGTCTGGGGGTGGTCGGGATTCTATTGCACGGAAAGCGACAAAACTGGAAGGAGAACTACCGGGGAGAGGGAGGTGGCGAGGGAATTGTTGGTGGGGGAGCGGAGGCAGTAGAGGGCATTTATTGTAGATACCGAGGTAGGCACGGACCGTGTAGGCACCGACAGGAAATAAAGAAGAGGGCCGGTCTGGGGTGGTCGGGATTCTAGTATACGGAAAAGGACAAATTTCGACAAGGGAAACACCAAGGAGGGTAGGACGGGTAAATTTACTGGAAGGGATGTGTGGGGGAGAGGGGATAGAGGGCGGGAGTGTATTCTTAATAGGAAAAACCTAAAAGGAGAGCGTGGGGAAGGGATAGAAACGAAGAAAGGAAAATCTCACCACCCGAGGAGGCGACTGTCGGGAGGAACAAGCGGCACTCGTAACGTCCCTTGCACAGCGGCAGGAGGGAAGGCAGAGAGGGAGGCTACGTCTCTCCTGATGTGACCTGAGTAGAAACTCCGAGTTAAACTGTGGTAATTCGATGATGAAGAGCTCCTTGGCAAGGCGTTGTTGAAATCTCTGTAGCGGGACACTCGAGGATCGAGCGTCACGTTGGTATCTTTTGGTACTTCTGGTTGATCCACTCATGAAGTGACGGAGGGCAGAGGGAGGTGGTCTCCAAGGCCAGCAACTTCCCCGTGGTGAAAGTAAACTCACGGTGGGTTACTAGTTGTTGTCCTATCGCCTTCGACCAGTTCGAGGGCGGGATAGCTATGGCGAAGAAACTTCACGCAAAGCATGAGCCGCGCAAAAACAGCGCAGGCGCGCAAAAGGCGCCGCAGAAGTCGCGCTCGACCGTCCCCCGTCCTTCCTTAGTTCTGTGCTCGTTTTCTTGCGCCTCTTTTTGTGTCAGTGTGTGTGTGTGTGTGTGTGTGTGTGTGTGTGTGTGTGTGAGAGAGAGAGAGAGAGAGAGAGAGAGTCTCTCTCTCTCTCTCTCTCTCTCTCTCTCTCTCTCTCTCTCTCTCTCTCGTCGCGGCTGGCCTCATGGTACTGCGCCCTTGCTAGTAGGATGAGCAAAATCGAATGAATCTGGAGCTATAGCTGGGAATATACATTGCCTTACTTGTTTTTGTGTGAGTGTGTGTTTGTGTGTGTGTGTGTGTGTGTGTGAGAGAGAGAGAGAGAGAGAGAGAGAGAGAGAGAG